AAAACAGGAATTTTTGTTGTTGTGAGACTTTGACTGCGAAACCATTGTAAAAAATGTGATACGAGAGTGATTTGAGATATTATATATCAAAAATACAACTAGTGATTTGTTGGTGATACTTAAAGCAAAATTCCCAACAGAGAAACTCTTTAGTTTAGATTTTACTTTACGACAAGAAAGAATAGTTTAAAATATACAACGTCACTGCAATTGTAACTTTCTGCATGTACATGCAGGTAAAATTATGATATTTGAGAATATAGGATAAAATTTCTTACATAAGCAATTTTCACAAAGAACGATATGTCATATATATTACAGGTCCTTACCGCGATCCTTATAGGTAATATAGGATGACAGCTTTCAGTAGCTGAATAAGTTTTAACCTGATATATTTAATATAGAATAAGAAATGTGCAGGGACGCCGGAACGATGTGATGGCAGGGGGGGGGCAGATTTTCGTGAAAGGGCACTTTTGAATTGATATATACTAAGAGATGTTTGCAAAACATCGGAAGTTGAACTTCGCCTAATCATGTTTTCTATTTATTGGATGATAGGGGTGTGAGGGGGTTCTCCGCCAGGCGATTGTGCTATTCTTGAAGCTCGATGACTCCTTAACTTCTGCAGTCATAGAATAGCACAGGTTTCATATTTCTCTAATTATTTATTTTTCTCCTTTTTTCCCTATTAAGTGCTAATGGTGAAACAGAATGTAGTGCCGATGCACTTTGGTTTTATTTAATCTACAAATTGTCGCTGATTACTCATTGTCTGGAATGTTTTGCATTTGCCAGCGCAATAACCCTGGACGCCACCCTAGCATTGTTTCCTGTCGCGGTCATACATGGCGATATCCATGGTACACTCATGATTAACATGTCGAAGATTTTCCTCGGGATAAGGCTGCTATTTGTCTATGGAATCTGTTTTTTGTACCTCCAGAAAATATTTCACGAAGACCGAACACTCTTCGCAGAACCTGGTGGCCCAATGCAACGTGAGAGTAAAGTTACAAACGTTGCAGAATCTGGTGGCCTAAGAATACTAATTGAAAGTAAAGTTACAAACGTCTGAACACTTTAATGTTAGGGAGCAGTCATTATTACGACGGGGGGGGGCGGAATATTTTGTAAATTTTTCGCGGCCCTCTTCTACTCGTAGCCTTAACACCCCCCCCCCTCCCTAGTGCGAAGTATTTGTAAGTTGTAGAATGCCCGCCACTGTGTTATGCTTACAAATGACTAGTGGGTTAGAGCCAATACTCACAGTGCATGGTTATAGTCTCTTTTAGTCATCTATTAGGATTTAAAATTGCCGGTATCGTGTTTAAAAACACCACACATAGCCCACTCTTTCTTGTTACGGTTTCTTTTTGACAGCCCCCCCCCCCCCCCCCC